TGATTTAAGGATTAGTTCTGGCAAAAAACTATAAATAAAAATAAACTGAGTTTTTATTGAGTATAAATGTATTATGCTATTTTTCAATAGATTTGAAAGCTATTATAATAAATTTATTATTATTATTTTTTATTAAAGGTTACGCTGAATTTGGAGTTAGTAGAAATCTAAAGAGCGGAGGTCTCTTTCCATCGACTTTCAACGTTGCGACAAAAGCCGAAATTTACGCTAATGCTACTTGCGGAGAAGATGGCCCCGAGACATTTTGCAAGCCGTCAGATTCTTCTAGGTGCGCTGTTTGTGACTCGAGGAGTCCTGATTTGTATAAACGGCATAACATCACAAATGTCCTGAATCCTGATCCGACCAAATGGTGGCAAAGCCCAACGCTGGCTCGAGACACCCGATACGAATTCGTCACTATTATTTTGGACTTGAAACAGGTAAGATAAGATAAAGATAAATAATATGAAAAATTATAATTATTATTTTGCTAATTATCAGAGATTTGTATAAACTGTTGGCACGTAGAGCTAACTTCAGCGGTATTTGTTGAAAAAAGTATTTGAAGAAACAGTTAAATTGATGGCGAAACTTGTTTAGTCTGAGCGGCACTTGTAACCAATTTATGTCTCTGGTTTGTTCGATTCAGAGTCGTTATATGCTTACACGCAAAAGAGAAAAGACGAAAGGGGATAACTGAGCAGGGGAGTTGAGAGATCGGTTAGAGAAACTAAATGTCAGTAAATGGGAAACGTGAATAGAGGAGATTGAGAGAAAGCGAGGATTTTATTTAATAAAATAAAGAATGAAGAAATTTTTAAGGGAGGAGGTGACATGGTGGTTGTTCAAAAAATAAATAAACGAGTTAATGTGAATAAGAAAGACTAAGAGGAATCTTTTGATCCTTTCCGGGAATTTAATGTTGTGTTTATGTATACATTATGTGTGTGTATATGCTTACTACAGCTACTCAGCAAATTGCTGCAGTGGCATAACATTTTTAACGAGCAACTTCGTCAGACTATTATACCAAATTCCCTTCTGCATTTTGCATTTGCTTCTTTTAAATGCAAGGGCCTAGGTTTAGCAGTACGATGATATAACCAAGTTAATATACGAGTCTTTGCATAACTTGCTTTTTGGTGAAGCAAAAATAAATTCAAGGGATGCATGCGTGGAGGATTTTAAAAAAATTTACTGGTTCTTTTATTATGGGTAAAAAATTATATAGCTTACAGAAACAAAATATTTGGACACAGGTGAAATTTATAGTATTCGAATCAATTTATTTTTAAAATTAATTTGAATATTTATTATGTCTTGAATAATTTTGGCCGTAACTTGAACAAATTGACTGACAAAAATTTATTCAGTTACTTTATTCAATTGATGATTAAATTTTCTACATATTTTGATAATTTTGTATATATTTATAAAAGAGATAAAAAATTTTTATTGGATTAATTATTTTATTGCAGTTCTCATATTTTATCCATTTATTAAATATATTAATCATTAACCTTTCTCAGGAATAGTTGTCAGCTGACAGTTAGTTTAAATATGAGTATAAAAGTAAATTAATTATATAAATAATATGCATGAATTTAATCGTGTTATTAATTTAATATACATTTAATTCTTATAAAAGTGAAGTTTCGTCGGGTTTAAAAAACTAAAAAATATAAAATAAATACTTTGCATATTCAATAGGCAGGTAATTTATTACAGCTGGTTACCTTGAAACGAGATAATTTTTTTTAATTACTCGAGAAAGTGTGTAACTAATTATTTATTTATATGTCGTTAATCATGATGAAATGATATTTTAATAATTTGATTTTTAATTGACAGCTACTGAATTCTTTAAATGATTATTATTTTTTATGACTACTTGCCAGTCATTTTTTTTAAGGAATCATAAAACTGGCAAAGATACCCGTGAGAAAATAATCACAAGTTGGTGAAATCTGAATTAATATTATAAATTATTATTTTATATCAATACTATAAGAGTGCTAATTTAATCATTAGCGGACGTGGGGGATTAATTCGGCTGGTGGATGGTGACGTGCCTGAGAGTATGAGTGATGTGACAGATGAGGATACAGGGAATGGATAATTTTCAATGAGCCTGCAATCGTAGCTGTCACTCTGCATTATTTGATGCTCTTTACCGTGAACGCGTCGCTATAACCACTCGAGGACGCACTTGGAAACTTGACTTGCTCAAAACCAAACACGTAAATTTTTTTCACATTAAATTACACTGGCTATAAATTTAATTAAAAAATAAAAAAAAATCGTCATTTTTAAACCAGAAATCTAATTAAACTCTTTTATTTTTCTTTTACATTAATTATTAACTTTTATGATATCAAACCATATCTTTAAAATATCTTTAAAAATTTCAAAGTCATTGCGCACAATTTTACAAAATTCAAAGCGACACAAAATGTTAAAATAATACTTACTGTTGTAAGCATGAAAAGAAAAAATAATATTGAATGCGAACAAATAAACGGCAACTACAGTACTGATGCATTAAATATGTATTGTCATTCAAGAGTGAGCTTAGCTGTCAGAGACGTCGAGCACGAGCGTTGATGACATCAGTCTGTTTAACAACGAAATGAGTGGGTGCAGATTAAAAGCGAGTAGAGCTTATGACCCTGAAATCCTGTGGCGTGAAAGGATCCCGAGCTATTCACAGTACTCTGTACACAGAATACTTGACAGCGCAATGTATTTTAATATATTGCTCAGAACATTCGCTGGTTATCGTCATTGTCCGCGGATTACAGCCAACGATTTGATGCCACGGATTTTTAGTCTCTTACATCCGAGTGTTAGGGCAAGTGTGTAAGCATGTATGTAAATAGTCCAGCGAATGGTGACTGGTGGGTTGCGAGTCTTCAAAAAAAAAGCTTCAAAGATGTTTGCTTATTTTTTTTTTATTTTAAAAAGTTCAATCTTAATCTGGACTTCTGCTGGATTATTGAACAGTGAGTCATCTGGTGGCAAAGAAAGAATCTTATATTTTATTAAGTCTCATACTTACTACGTACTCAGCTCTGTATACAGATATAATGTAATGTAATATAAGTGAGGAGCTTCTATAAAGGTTGGTTGAAATGATCAGATCGGCGATGGTGTATTGAAGCCACAAAAAAATAAATACAGACAATTTCACATTTTATTTCGTCTCGACATAAACAGCGCGTACCTTATTTAGAAGTGTGCAGTTTTTGCGATTATTATTCTTATTTTATAAATTTTCTTGTGTCGTAAAACGCGAATCGGAGAAGAGAGACGCGATGGAAAAATAATATATTTATATGTTTTTGAAAAGAGTTTTCAACAAAACAAGGAAGGCGATGTCCGATGCAGATAGTCGATGACACGATGAGTGGAAGATGGAATCCTGGAGTATAGAGAAACGATTTCGTTCTCGATATCTTTCCATCACCTTTCTTTGACTGGGCGAAGCTCCTTTTTGGTCGATTGCATGTGTGTAGATGGTTCACTTCTTTCATACGGTAATTACTAAGTGCTCACTGCGATTCCAGAGAATCCGAGGCATCTGACTGCTCACTAATTGACCAGCTGACCACATTGATCCCAAGAATTCTGGAGAACTGTCTATACTCTACTTTTATACTGAGTCATTTATGCTTTTTAGTTTTTGTTTCATTTGGAGTTTTTATTTTTTTAATTCACAGGTATTGTGTACAATTATATAATTATTACAAACGACAATCGGTGATACGAAAGTTTAATATAGCATTAATTGTTAGAAGATATTAGTAGTTTCAATTTAATTAAATCATCACTCAGTACACACTTTTTTAAAACATTTAAAACTGGAAAATTGAATTTCTTTAAATGGATATATATCTTATAATTTTTTTGTATCTTTTGTATTTTATACGTAAAAATTAAATTTTATATTTTGAAAATAATTTTTTCATTCTATTGACTTGAATTGAAATTTTGTCAACGAAATCAATGATCTGTAGGAAAAAATTGATAAGGATTGTTATACATGAAATTTAACTTTCCATAAAAAAATATTGGATATTTTTTTTTTGTATCTTCAATACTTTATATTAAAAAACATTTTCACAAGAGTGAAAGAGTCATCGGAGTTAAAATTTTCACAAACAATTTTAATCGCAAAACAGTTTTTTAATTTATTTTTTTTCTCATGATTTTCACGTCATATATGCTGCAGTAATATTGAAAAAAGTAATTCATTTCAATACACTGCGTAATGGTCACGATAATCTACTGCCTACCGATATCGTGGATAAGTACATGGTTTTTATTGACTTTTTACTGCTTCCTAAGAGAGCTTTGTAAAGGTAACACATCACACATTATGTAAAAAAACATTATTGAAAAAATGATATTTTTTTCTTATTATTATTAGAATTTCATAATTATTTGACTTTGATAATTTATCGAAAAAAGTTAAATAGTAGTATTTTTTTAATTCGTGAATTAATTAGATAGATAAATTTAAAATTGAATGACTTTTAATTAATGAAAATAAAGACCATCTCTTTCTGTAAATTTAGAAACTTCTACTTCTACTTTTTTAAATTTCTGAAAAAAACATTTAAACAAAAATGAACAATTTTGAATCGAAGCTTAGTTATTTTTGATTATGGTTCTCTGATGTATTTATTAAGAATCACTATACGTTTATTGATAATCACAATTTTTTGTTTGAGGAATAATTTTTTTTTTCGGGGTTGTGAATAGCTAATTCCTCCTCTTCGACATATTTCAATGAAAAATACTAGAATGGGAAAGATCGACATCATAGCCATAAAGATATTAACGAAAGATAAATTATCAAAATCAATTTGAAAGAGTTCCGAAGACTCTTCAATCTTTTCCAAAGCTTTTATCTTTTCGATGGGATATTTGTGGTCTCTTCTATTCCAATACTCTGTTATTCCGAATTCGGTAAGCCTTGCCGATATTTGGTCAACTCATTTTTTCAATACCCAATTACGCCGGGTCCAATAAGAGTAGTATGTCTTAAAAAATTGCGATCTCGATGTAAATATTTTATTCTTGTATTTAATTGCAGCCGGTAGTAACTTATTAACAAAAGAAATGCACGCGGCATTGGAGTCATTTAAAACTCGATGGTAGCAATGGAAAACCGATGAGGTATTTTTATAGTGTAAATATTTTTGCTCCGAACCTAACCACAATTTTTCGCCATCAATGTAGTCTTCGAGGATAGTATGAAGATAGATATTGTATTTTAAAGTGTGTAAATCATGGAGGTTCTCTACGTGATATCGCTCTGGGCCCGACATTAAAGCTGATAAAGTTTGTTCTAATCCAGGCCTTATAATGAAAATTACTACTGTCGCAATTACGAAAACAAAACGCATTGGTAATGGTTCCAATGTCGTCATAATATCCCTATCTAATAATATTTGCAAAATATCTATAACAGTAACGCTCAATCTTTTACTGTAAATAAGTATTACAGTGAATGTAATCAGCAAAGTAAATACCGATAGTGTAACAATATCGATTGTATAATAATTATTAATATTTTCTACATGAATCTCGATTTTTCTTTTTTGTGTCATTATTAACAATCCGAGTTCATTGTATAATTTAACTGTATCAATAAGCTTATTAGGAACCATGGAAATTTGTCGCGTGCTCATACCAATATCATGGGTCCCATTAATTAATGATTTTAAAAACCCATAAACTTTTCCTTTTTCATAATAGCCGTCATCGTCTAAATAAATGATTGGTGTTACATTCATAGCCGAAAACAATGTCGAAAAATACCTACGTTTAAATCTTAATGGGTTAATTTTTAAGATTTCTTTACCATATGCTTTACCTTTAGTCCAGTTCAATTTGAATCCTGGTGGGGTTTCTTCGATAGCTTTTACTGGGTAGCCGTCTAAGACTTTTGTCTTATCGAAAGTAAGGTTTTGACAAATGCTGTCATCTAAAAAAAATCAATTCGTTTAAAAATATTTTGTAATTAACTAATATCGACGTTCTAATCAACAAATTGTCTCAAATAATTTCATTCAGATCATTGCTATCTAAAATTGTCAAAAATCCATCTCCTAAAAAATGTGGGGTCAGATAATTTGTTGATTAGAACGTCGATTTAAAAGTTTAGATCTTACCATTTAGATAAGCTTGATAAAAGAGAGTTGATCGATTTACAAGTTGGTCATTTGTTTCCATTTTTACCCAAGGTTGAGGAGCATGAGGCCCATAAGGATTTAATGTAAATATCAGAATTGTATCACTCAGAGGTTCGCTGCATACATAAAACGAAAAAAGTAACTCCTTATTCCACAAAGTCTGCAGTACTCGTCCAGCATTCTTGCAGTAATTATCATTATTGAGATCAACAACGAAGAAAATTGATTCAATGCTCCATATTGACATCGATTTAAATTCTTCGAGGATGTTGTTAAGTTTTTTATCAGAATCGGTAGACAAAAAATATGTTGGTCTTGCCGGGTGGAAAATTTGAATATTTTTAGCTTTAAATTCGTTATCTATAATACTGATCGGCGATTGCATTGACTCTCGTGATTGTTGGTCTATTATATCGATCAAGTTTACAGTGAGTACCAAAGGGTTCGTGCGGTTTGAGAAACACATTTTTATCAATTGTCCCTGTTAATTATTATTTGTTAATAATATAATTAATAAATAGTCAGAACAAGATGAATTAAATGAGAAATTAATTATAAAAAATTTATATACTACAAAATTATTGGAATATCATCAGAATTAAATAAAACAAGCTTGAAATTTATACGAAATAAATTTTCTTTGGATGAAAAAAAAATTGATAGAATAAAATTATTCGTACACAGTTCATGCAAAAAGAGAGTAATTAGAGTTACAATTAAAACTAGAAAAATTAAATACCTAAAAAAAAAAAAAAATTGAATAAAAAAAAGCCTAGTTACCAATTGTTGATGTTTGTCAAAATTTACAGGATTTCTTGAATTCAGTAACGGAAGAAACCCATCAATTTCATTGAACGTATGTACTAGTAACAGCCACCAAATAATTTTTTTATTCCACATAACTATTTTTTTTAAACTCTATAAAAACTCTATAAAAAAATAAAGTTTAAAAAAAAATTTACACCATTTCTAGAAAATGCACGTTAGTTCGCTATATATTTTACGTTATTGTTTTTTCCGTGTTCTGAAGAGAACTAATGCTTTCTTTTGTTGCTAGCGTCGTCCTTAAAATTTATTTTATTGATTCATCCCCTCAACTGGATGAGTACCTAGTTTAGCTACGTGTCGATTGTTTACTTGTTTGCAATTATGTACTGCATGTGAAGAGCACGGTGTTGTTTTTAATTTCAGAAATGGTATTACTATCTCACTTGTCTTTAATATCTATAATTTGCATAGCAACCTGAAAAACCAACAAAAATACATGAACATAAATTACTATATATATTTTTACAACATTTTTTTTGTAATTAGTAAATGTTTAATTTAATAATCGCTTTAAAAAATAATTACAATATGAATTTATACAAAAAATTATTTAAAAAAAAGCCATACTATTTATCTATATCAAAACTTTTAGTTATAAAATTAATTAAAATATTTCAATTTCCCTTTTATCGATTAATATTTTTCACAGTTGCATAAAAACAAGAAAATCTGATAAAAAAAAAAAATTAAAACCACTTAAAATTCAATTTAGATGACGTGTGTGTTTCACACACGGAATGTAATTCACTTTTAAGCAATCTCGGAGATTTAAATTAGAGGGTTGTACGCACGACATTGGGACAGGGAATATAATGCTTCGACATCCAGCATAAAGGCGTAGAGCACGTGTGAGTATAAAAGGGAAGAAAGATCGCGGCGAAAACGGTACGTGTCTGACTAACTTGTATGCTGCTTCCTTTTCAAACAGGTTAAAGAAGCCACTTTTATTTTTATTCCTCTCTGCTTGTCTTTCTACACTCCTTATTTTGACTCCTCCTTTTTTATTATCTTTATTTATTTATATTTATTTTTATTACAGATTTTTTGTTCCTCTTTTAAGAGACGTAAAGAGTACGATAAATAAAACTCGTCATTCAATTCCCACGGTCACCGGGCAATAATTACAGACTAATGTGTGGCTCTTGCTCTTCCAGGACATCTCAGACAGTCTTTTTGTCCATACCCAGGCAATGCCGACTCATCAGGAGGAGCCATATCAGCTCCACTTAGTACCGCACGAGAAAACTTTAAGACACTTGTCTTGGATTATCTTTATCTCTGCATAACATTTTACACTCTGTACCTACTCCTATTCCTTATTTCATTACAACCACGGCTACTGCTACATCTATCATTATCATTATTATTATTATTATTATTATTATTATTATTATTATTATTATTACATGTCATTTTTATTTTTCTCAACACATCTTTAATCTTTTATTCTTGAGTAATCGCTTGCGATGTTGCGATGTAGGTGCTAAGTATTTTATTCTTGATGGGAAAACTCTACTCCGAATAAAAATGCGTGAGCACGTGAGATGATCACGTATGCGGAACTTACTACTCTTCAGAATTTATTTATTTTCTACACAACTCATGTGGAGATTTTTTTTATTAGTGATATAGAAAATAAATTTGATCTTTTCTTTTTAGTTAATTACAAAACTTTTTACTTTTATGCATCTTGTTATCACACAATCAATAATTGAAGATTTAATTGATTGCATCATATCTCCAAAACTGCAAAAATCAAGACACTTAACAATTTTTCTCGAAAATTGTTCACGATTACTTTATAAAATTTTTATCTCAAAAGAATAAAAAAAATATGTTATTTTTTAATTTAATTAAATTTAGTAGTGTAAAAAAATATAAAACTATAATTAAAAGTGATGTATTCGTAAGATCGTTATGTCTTATTATGGAAAGATTATGGAGGTTTCTCTTTGATAGAGCTCCGCTGCGTTGGCAGACAATCCGCCACGCGTGCTCGTAAATTTTCATTTTTATTGTGAACCCTAAGCTAAAGCTGGCAATCAGTGTGCAAAAGTGATAGTGTTGAAGTTTTGCGGTTTAAGTTTGTCGCTATTAAAAAAAGTAATAAATTTCTTTACTCAAAAGTAAATATACTCTCGTAAAAATGACGAAGGACCACATCGGCTCATTTTAATTACATTTATGCTTATTAAATAATATTTATTATAAATAAAAATAAAATAAACTCGTTAAATTAGCAGTCGTAACCCGGAATCTTCAATTAAAATTTATCGACAGCGAATATTAGAAAATGAATAACTGTAAGTACTGTAAGGCATGTCCGGTAATAAATAATCAATGACATGATAGGCACCATGATGAGATTGAGGAGTTGGTAATACAGAAATTCAAACAAACGATAAATCTTTTATTCACCGGGCGAGTAGTCCACGCGATTATAAATCTCTCGTGTAAGGTTGATGTTTGATTTGAATAGACCCACTGGCTCCTGCTCTCATGTCTCGCTCTCTATCTTATTCCTTCACAAGTTTCAGTCTAGTCCGTGGGTCTTGCACTACTATTACTGTACATAATACTGAACGCCGTGAATGCTCGACAGCAATCTCTTGGCAGGACTCCAGCTCAGTCTCTGTGTAAAGTATATATATATATGTACATATTATATATACTCAGCCATTATATGCTCAAGAGAATATTTTTCAGTTCTCTTTTAGTATCTCAAGATCCACAGCTACAACTCTTCCATTTCATTCTATTCCTCTTCTCCTCTCTTGACGACCGGTCCATGTACTAGTGCTAGTGTCGCTACTCGTGTTTCTTCCACTATTGCACACATGTAGTGTTTTAGTTTTTATTCATTTCTTTTTCCTATATATTTTATCTTTGTATTAAGTCTTTACAAGAAAATATCTTTATTATAATTACTAGCGGTGTTTCTACCTTCATCATTCGGTGTCTAATTAAGAAGCTGAAATTCAGGATGCTTTTCCAGTTTTTGTTTTTTCCGATAAAATAAAATAATCACTTGAATTATAATACTATTTTTTTTTTAATTTATTTTTTATAAAATTGAATGGATAATACTGTTACATTTTAGTTAAAATTGAAAATTTTAATTATGATCATTAGGTGCTACAATCAGTATAAAATTCAACACGTAGATAACAAAATTTATTTAAAAATCAATAAATAATCTTTAAGACCATCTTCTTGATTTAAGCAGAAAAATTCTTAAACTGTGAAATTTTTCTTGGTTTAAATAAATTTTACGTGATTCAAATTGAATGTCAATCATTATACTTTTTTTGTAATTTTTTTTACTGTTCTAATAGTCTTTATAAATTAGTGGTCGAACTTAAGAAAGTTTGGATTTTATAATTAAGTACGTAATTACAGCTGCAACAAACTGGAAACAAATGCATTATTGTTAATAATTATGACTTGTGTAAGTTGCGGATTTTCTCCTGAAGCTTAGGATCTTTGGATTTAAGCTCCAATCTTGCAAGTATTTCTCTAGTTTGTTTTCACTGGAACGAAAAATAAATTTATTTGTTATTGTTTTGACCCAAATAAATCGACCAAATAAAAAAAAAAATAATTATTATGATTATCATCACGACACATTTTTATAAAAATCATTAAACACGTGATCATTACTAAAATAAATAAAAATCCCTATTGCTTATAAAAGTGCATTTTTTTTTGCATAATAATTAATTTTATGAATAATTACTCCCAGCAACTTTATTATCAAGCCCGACAAACTGTTTTGAGTATTCCAATTATCCTTTATACCTGACGCGGCATCATTTAATATCCAGAAGTATCATATTCTTTGTTATTTTATTGCATCCTCAACTCTTGATATAAATTTTTAAACCTCCTTAGTTTCCGTCTCCGTTTTATTCTTGTTGTTCAGCATCTTGCTCCTTTTTCTCTCACATTCATACTTTTATCTCAATCCCCATGCGGTTATCCTGGGCGTTTGAGTTTTGCTCGAGATTCGTCAGTGCGATATATCGCGTTACGGCAGGTATTAATTGCAGCCGGAATTAAAAATAACGCGAGACGACATAATCCGATTATCTGTGCTCCTCACCGCAGTATCTGTACCACTTATTAGTTTTTTAAATTATCAGTCAACCGTGAATTAATATACACATATAAGCATTTATCGCGTGAGAATACTGCTATAATAATAATAATTAAAGATTACTTTCGTTTAATAAATTTTACATATTATATTTAATATAATACATTATATATTATCTATTATACTGAGCTATAATATCATTATTGTTGTTGTAAAATCTGAGTTTTAAGTACACGCATCATTGTTTGACGGACAATAAGTACAGTATGAGTACAACGAGTGGGTGTACGCAGGGGGTAAATAAACTGTTGGGTATATAATAATAATAAGAATAAGATTCTGAGAGGACCTCATGCTGTGGAGTATCTTCTTATCTGGCATATGAGGTGAACTTCAGACGGTTTGTTACCGTAATTCGTTTAGTCGTTTATTTTAATTTATGCTAGACCTTAAAAACTTTTTTTTTGTCAGCACGTCACACAAAAAATTACTGAATATTTTGACATTAAATTTTTGCTCTTTGATAATAAAAACAATTTTTTTAAATTCATTATAAATTATAACACAATTAATTTTTTGAAGTAAATATCATATAATTTTTCTATATAAAAAAAATTTGTCAATTTAAAAACTTTTCGGTTTGATCAAAGCTAAAATGATTTTTATGGTTCGAGATTTTTTTTTTAACTATGTTAATTATTATTGTTTTTATTAATGAAAAACTTTTACAATTATGTTTTATTTAAAGTCTAAAAATATCATTGGAAGGAAGAGAATGCCATTGTAAAGAGTATATATTATATAAAAGATTCTTAGTTGAGTAGTTGTAAAGATCATGAGAAAAGGTATACATTATTGCGTGGGTGGGAGCAATTTTACCGGTTATTTCAGCGATATATACCCGCTGATACAAAGGAAATAGTCAGTATTTTAACTTGAAGTGTATAAATATATTTTTTTATTAACAAGACATGAGTGAAAAAAGGTTTTAAATTACCCTTAAAAATAAAATAAAGGATTATTTTTGTCCGTGTACTTGTCGACTGGTTATTGTTTGAGCGGGAAAATAGAGCCAGACCACCTCGGACTTTTCAGGGTATGACTCATCGTGCAAAACTGTCCAGCTTCCTGGAAACCTCGCGAGTAGAATCGTGACAATAAAGGAGAAACAAGAGAGCCAGCCAGCGGATAGAAGAGCTAAGGAGTAGAGGCGAGAGGGATGAAAAAGCGCAAGAGCATAACCGGGCAAACGACGAGCGCCGACCACCGTATGTGCCAACGTGCAAGCCGGTTTGCTCCACTTACTTTGGCTTTACTTGCTTTGCTTTGGCTCCAACTGCAAGACTTAACTCGCGGGTCTCACGAGCCGCGCGACTCTTAACTCGACTTGTCTTGTTGTGAGTTTGTTACTGTAGAACCTGGCCCTTTATGGACACTAACAGAGGACAACACGACGCGGGAGACCTTTTAACTATGGCTTTAAGGACACTCTTAATAAATTGCTCGTGTTCAAGCAGTCGATAGCACTCACTGTTTACTCCTATTTATACTCGTGCTACCTTCATATTTTTTTTAATTTTATTATTACACTCTTTTATTTAATTATTATAAAAAAGTAGTAGCCTTTTTTTTTAAATAAATTTTTATTAAAAAAATATTTTTTAATTTTTGACAAACGTGTTAATTTTCGGAATTTTGAAGTGATAAATCAAAAAATTAAAGACAAAATTATTTTTTTATTAATGATTAATTTAAAAAAATTATCATTGGTTATTTTTAATATAATTAATACACTAATTAAATTATATTTAATAAATAACTTTCAAAAATTTAGTTTTTGTCTATTGTTCTGCCCACGATTTTATTTTGTTATTAATTAAAATTAATAACAAAAAAATTAAACGTTTTTATTATATTGAGTAGAAGAATGTCAAAAGAAAAAAAAATTAATTATTCCGTTTTTACTTTATAAAAACATAGATATAAAATATAAATATTATCCACAATACATGTTGCAACTATACGCAATGATAAATAGAGAAAGTGTAAAGCAATGTCCATCCAAAGGGGCGATGAATATCCGGAAAGAGCTTCGGCTCCTCTTCAGACTGTTAAATTTATCGCCACAAGAGTTATAAGCACCGGCAGCGGGTTCACAATAACAGCACATAGCACAATACAGCGTTTGTCTTGGAATCCAATGTGCAATGTGTATTTTCTGACAGAGGTTACACCAGAAAGAGATTCATCGTGCAAGTGTTGCTGCCGTTGTTGCTGTCAAAACATATAGCTTCGTAATATGTTCTCATTTTATTATCTTTATGTAACTATATTCATGAATACATTATTCATCTGACTTGACTTGGAACTCTGGCACTAAAATAAGCCTCCTAAAATATACTCAATCACAATCACATTTTACACCCATTTTGCTCGCTATTTATTACAGCACATTACAATCTGCAATGACGATAAAATCAAAATTAACTCGATGTAAAAACCATCAATATCAATCAAGTAAAAGACTCACTACACGTCTTTTGTTTCATTGTGTTTGACATCTAATGTTGATACACTCTATTTTACACAGTACAGGGAACTCAACTCGGTTCATTCGACTATTAGCCTTTTTATTTAATACTAGACATCACGATCAGCAGCAATAAAAATAAAAATAAATGTAATCAGTTGCTACCGTGGAAATTCTGTTTGTATTGTATGATATTATACATCAGGATTCTCGGATCGCATTATTGATGATTTTCTTGATCTCTCGGAACGTATCACACAACAGCTATAAAACCATTTCTGTCATTCCCGTGTCTTTCATCCCTATTATGGAACTCACATGCGTGCGACTCTTAATTTAAAACTCGACTGGTACTGTATTATATGTAAGTGCAACCTACAGTGAAGCTTGTAATGTCAATCGTATTCCACTTTATCGTGGGATCTGATTGTATACTAATTTTAAATTTTAAATCAATGATTGATTTTTACTGAAAAAAGTCAAGTTTACTGATAAAATCGGATTTTTTAATAATTAAAAAGCTTTATTAAGTGTTAATAAATTATTTATTTATTTATTCACATAAGATGATTTAAAATTTCGTAATTCAATTTAAAACTTCCAGATCAGGTACATCAATAATTTTCTGACCAATTTCTTTTTAAGTAAAAATAATAAGTGTATTGAATATTCATATATCTTGTAAACTAATGACATTTTTAAAGATCCGAACAAAAACAGTTTCACTGTAAAAAAATCGCGCCAAGTCCACGTTCATAAGACTATTAAGAAAAAAAAAATTAGTTTTTTTCTTTACAAAAAGATATAAAATAAAAAAATTAAAAAATCCAAGTAACCGATATGATTGTTTATGATTTTCGAAAATTAAAAAAAATTTTGTTGTAAATTTAAAAATTAAAAAAACAATTTTGAAACGTATTTAGTGTGCGCGGTTGCAAAATATTTTACTTTTAACTAAATTCGTAAAATCTATTTACTAGAACTTTAAAAAAATTGAAATGCACAATATGACGCACCAAGTACGTTCTAAAATTGTTTTTTTAATTTTTAAATTTACAAAAAAATTTTTTTTAATTTCCGAAAATCATAAACAATCATACCGGTTACTTGGATTTTTTAATTTTTTAATTTTATATCTTTTTGTAAAGAAAAAAACTAATTTTTCTCTTAATAGTCTTATGAACGTGGACTTGGCGCAATTTTTTTTACAGTGAAACTGTTTTTGTTCGGATTTTAGTATTTTTTGTAATTATAATAAAAATTTACAATTGGTACCAACTTAAATCTCGCGTTGGATGCGCATTTTTTTATATCAAACTAGCCCCTTGAAGCTACAGTTTATGTAAAAATAATTCCAGCGCACCCTGGCGGGTGTAAATGCAAGCTGTGAAATATCTTTTTTTAACTGTAGTTTCCCATCTAATGAAGGATTACATACTATGCATTCTCGAATATTTTAGTCTGTGGCAGATCACTTTGCCCATCGAAAAAAAGTCAGGATCGAAATTTTTGTGAATATAATTAATTAATAACAGTAAAATAAAGTATGAATTACTGTTATAATATACAATTTAGGAAAAAAAAGTACCGTAGAATTAAATAAAATTTTGCAACCTCAAAATACCGTTCTGCTTACAGTAAACACAGTCGGTAGTCTGGCACTCCGTTGACAACGGATTTGAACGGAACTTGGCGCCAGATTCTACCGAATCTGTGGATATAAGCTCATCTTGATGTTACACTCATCAAGACCTTTCATTTGAGTACCCACATCAATTTTTCATATATTTTATATATTTATATATATGTATATATGAAAAATATATCAAATTGCATGTGGGTACTCAAATGAAAGCTCTTGATGAGTGTAACATCGAGATCATTATAAATGGTTATGAATTTAGATAAAAAATTATTAATATTTAGTAACTGCTAATAACTGCACTTTTATTTCAAATAATATTTATTTAATTTTTCTATCAATGTATGAATTGATCGAATACTTAAAATAACTTAGTGTCACTCGTACTATCTCGAAAGAAACTTACAATTATAATGACATAGTTTTTTTATATAATAGTTACAATATTCTGCGTCTACTTTTTGGTGTCAAACAAAATAACTTACAGAGAATTTAAAGCATTAGACATCAGACAAATCTACCATCCACACTTAAGCTTATTTTATAAAATCAAAAGAAAAAAAAAATAATAGAAACACGACCTATCCCCACAGCTCCTTAATCTGTAATTCAAAACAGACGAACACGTGCTCACACCATAAATATTTAACCCAACAAACTTTTTAGTCTCGGATCGTTTCCTCGTTCGCTACACTCCTTATCCCACATAATATTTTCATTAATTTATTATAACTTAACAATTTTATTTTATTTTGACCTTTTCTATTCAAGTTCCGTTTCTCATTCTTCTTATCCTCGTCCTCTCCCTCAACTCAATCTCTTCGCCATTTATCTTCTTTTACTTTCTTTGGCAATAACGAGGAGCACGCAGTCAACACGGTTCGCAGAGCCTCGACGACACGTCGCCGATTGCCCTATACTGAACAAAGAAAGACACCAACATTCGAACCCAAAAATTTTGAGAATGTCCCGCGGAGAACCGGTACCAGTACACGCAAAAAAGAATTACTTTATCATATACTTTGCTCATTAAAAATAATTCGATTTTAATGAAAAAAATTTTTTAATTTAAAGTTCAAGACCGCTTAAGTTAACTAAAAATTAATTCAATTGAATAAGGGCATGTAAATCGATATAGTTACTAAAAATAAAAGCCATTACTTCTCCGGTGACAATTGGCGCGTGGAAGCTTCTTACACCCATACATTTATGTATTTATTCATATATATTTATGCACATAAGAAGTATAAGAATAAGAAGAAGCAAAAGAGTGTGTCGACGGAGTCAATTCCTTAAATGGTTAGTAACCAAGCACTGTGGACTCGGTATCTGGTTAAGCGTATCGTCGGCTTGCGATCTGTCTTTATGACCGAAAGTGGGCGTCGTCGCATTGCTGAGGACAACGAGAAACAACTAAACACACGATACTTGAGTTAAGTTGAGGTTCAGCCTGATACTCCATGAGTATGGGGAAAAAAGCCCTTGCCTCACGAAGGAGCCAACCTTTGCTTTTACAAGGAGTCGGGTATAAGTACGAGGAAGGAACAGAACAGAACGCACGAGACCAGCACGGACGGTCAATTGGATCGTTAATTCTCAGTTGTCAATTTTATGCCTTGTTTGCGATTCGATTTCAGATAAATATAAATAATTATTTACAATAATGCTTGTATTATATTATTTATTATCATATTTAAAGTTTAAAGATCGAGGTATTGATATTTCGACAATTTTCAGTCATGTATAATGGGCATTAATATTAATATTTTATTTGTACGTCACCAGTATTTTTACGAAATATGTAAATGCTGATGCTAAAATTGAATTCTTAGGTTGAGGTTTGTGTTATGGGTGAATTATTCATTTTTCTCTTTCCACCCGCGTGTTCTTTATCGAGGCTCTGATCTCGTGTCAGCGTTGGATCTAGAAGTGCAATATTATGTGAAGGGTATGAATGACTTGTAAGAGTATGAGGGTACACACTGTACATTTATATGTGTTTGTTGTATGCAGAAAGTTTCTTCGAGTGGGCAGCGGGAAGATGACACTGTGAGACTAACAAAAGAGCTGACCGTTTGCGGTTGATTATCTTAGATCGCTGAGAATTAATTAATTACTCAACAGGAGACACGCTTCTGAATAGTAATTTTTTTTTTTTAGTTTATTTTCGTATTTATAAATGTTAATTTTTAGAAAAATACTTGAACATATTTCTGTTAGAAAGTTAAATAATTACCTGCTGGGTTCATTTAAATTTATAAAATTTTCTAATAAAATTGGTTTTTTAGTGTTAGATTTTTAAATTACCGCAGCTGAGATGAATTTAATAAAATTTTTGACACCGTTGTTATGGAAAATAATAATTTTTTTGGGTTTTTATTTGTTTCAGGTTTATCAAATAGAAAATGTTATTGTAAAAGCGGCAAATTCACCGCGACCGGCTGCGTGGGTGCTAGAGAGGTCGCTCGATGGGGAGGAATTCAAGCCCTGGCAATATTATGCCCCGAGTGATGAAGAGTGCTGGACGAGGTACTCGATTCCGCCTGTCACAAAGCCCATTTACAACGCCGATGATGAGGTCATATGTACGAGTATGTACTCACGACAGACGCCGATGGAGAGTGGAGAGGTAAAAAACATTTCATTTGCGTTTTTCTCTCGGATTAAATTCACTTTCGTTCTTTACTTTTGTTAATTCTATTTTAGTTTAATGTACAAATTATATAATTGTAATGAAAATATTAAGGACAAAGACTGGGAAATTTAAACATGAGTTTCTTCATTTACAAATGAGTAGATGGAATGCCATAAAATTTCAAATCCATAAAGGAATTACAGTTCAAAAATGTGAAAAATGTGTTTTTTATAACTATATAACATCTCTGCAATTGCTCTTGCGGGTAAAATTTCATAAAATCGGTTTTAAGCTGATCTCTACTTAAAGCAGAAAAAATATCCTTGGCAAATTTAAAGTCTTTAGATCTTAAAGTTTCAGAGATCTCATGATAAGTGAGTGAAGCACTATAAATCTCTTATAAATATATATATAAATAATTAAATAAATTGAAGAAATAATAATAACAATAAAAATGGAATAAACAATATTTATTTTATTAATAACAAAAAATTTTTTGTTAAAAATTCTTACAACTTTTGATGGCACGCGGCAAGTACAAAATTACCTTTGACGGTGAGTAGTTATAACAATTATTAAATGAAAAAAACTCGAGTTTTTGCATCAAGATACCTGAAGAATGTAATTTTTGTTATGATTGAAAGAGGTCATTGAACATGTGCGAATTATATCTAAGACTGAGATCGCACTTCCAGGGTGAGAAATTTGTGCCGGAGACAGTTTTTAAGCGAAGCAAAGAGAAGAGATACGTGAAGGAAAATAACACGAGTGCAGAATTGCCATGGTGCCATTACATGAAGCTAGAGGTATAAAAGGTCTTGCGTTCAAAATGTGTACATGCTATATACTATATACATATAAGTAAAGTAAAAGAGAAAAGAGAGACGAGTTATATAGATGATAAAAACGGAGATCCCTACATTCCTACCATGTATGGCTATACTGACGACCCTTGTAAGGGATCTCACGTACAGTCTCTTGATGATACTGGACGCCCGAAGCACGGCCAGCAGGAGGATGCAGAGGAGGGTTTGTGCGTTCAGCGTTTACGCTTTTGTAACAGAGGTGAAATGGATAAAAAAGGGTAAATAAAAAATGAGACTGGATCATGTCTCGCTTAGCTTTTAAAAAGAGAAATGTCTGGTTGTCTTGTCTCCAGTTATCCAGAAGATTCAAGAACTCAACAGCCTCCCATCTGTATAAATATATATATATAATGCAGAACGTAGCCTTTACTTACTGCCTTAGCTTCTCTCAAAAACTTGAAGGCCATCTTTATTTTTTTCTCTACTAATTAAATTCACCGAGTAACTATTTAATTTAATTTATTTAAAAATTTCTTATTTCGTTAGAAAATTAAGCAGATATTTTCGTCAGATATAGCCGAAGAATTTTAATTTAATGGCTACGAAACTACGGGACTTTATTTTAAACGGTTTATATATATTATTATATGTACATTTAATTTTTATTTTATTGTTGTGTTTTATGTTGTTTATTTTTAATGTAAATCAATAAAATTTAACGATCAAGAGAAAAAGTGTTACGTTACCGCACAACATAAAAAATAATGTATAAACTCGACAGTTATCCAATCATGTGTAATTATATGAGTATCTTATGAGTATCTTGTAAACCGGATAATAATTAATGATCGATTGAGATCGAATGTGTAATCGTCTGTGTAACTATCAGCAACAACCCGTCACACTGACGCCACGTCATTTGTCGCGACTTTAAGTATTATTTTATTTTGTAAAAATTTTATTATTCCCGCTACTAACCACGATAATTAAACCATTACGTTTTTTTTTTTATTATTTATGAGTTTATCTGAGAATTTTTTTTTTCTACAACTAAACATTTTATTTACAAAAGTTATTATTTTAACAAATTGTGGATTAAATCTTCTAGAAAAAATTTCTAACAGCTTTAAAATTTTAATTATTATTTCAAAATAGATTTAGAGATTGAAAATAAACTGTGAGACCAATAAAGAGTTAAATAAAAATGAAATCAAGTTCTTCACAAATATAATTATACTTATTGCAATCTGAAGTAAAATAATTACCTTAGTAATTATAATAATGGAATAAAATTTATCATCATAATTCAAAAGTTGAATATTTTACATTAAATTTTTCAGCAAAAGTAATAGAAATAACATATATCTTCAATAAAAGAAATAAATTTCTTAATGAGGTTTAGTAACTTTATGAAAACACTTGATTGTTTTCTCTCTTGAGTAATAAAATCTTTAATTCCTTTTTCAGACAACAGCGACAAGTAAAAAATTTTTTTATATTATATACCCATTAGTTAACAGCGAGTCCATTTAGGGATTACTGTCATTGTCATTCTCACTTTCGAATAAAAATTTTCAATTGCTCAATGAGTACCAATTACAAAAAAACAACTAACATATTTCCAGATCCACACGCATTTGCTAAACGGACGTCCAGGAGCCCAGAACCACAGTCAAGAGCTCGAAGAATTTACGCAGGCACGATTCGTAAGATTGAGGTTGCAGGGGCTTCAACGAGGTGGTGGTGCGGTTGCCGACAAACGCCGTGCATTTTATTCCATAAAAGAAATAAGCATAGGTGGACGTTGCTTGTGCTCAGGTCACGCTTCACGGTGTCGTTACAGTGTTCGCCACGGGGTAATTCACAATTTATATTACTACTTTTTAGCATAAATTATCGAGTGGACACTCTATGTGTCGCTTCCTTACAAGGACTATCGTCAACTCACGATCGTGATAAATAATTGTGTAATTTTATAGTACAATCGGTACTATATCATGCTTTATTTTTCACTCAAATAGAACAAAAAAATAACAATAATAATAATAATAATAATAACAGTAATAATTAGCAGAAATTAAAAAAACTTAAATAGTTGACTGTTAACCTCGTAAGTTAATTTTCACTTACAGCGACACCATCAGTAACGGCGATATAATAAGACCGCCGAGAGTTGTTACGAAATAAAAAATATTATTTGCTCTCTACTCGGTTACCTCGCGGTCATCGGTCACGATCGCGTTTGCGGTCGTGTTCAATGTGAAAGTGAGACGCGAGAAGGGAATAAGGATTAAAGGAGCCGAGAAAGGATCAAAGATTCCGACTTGCAATTTTTTGTCCACTCGATACAAATTTTTTTTCAACACTTGTTGTTTTTTTTTTTATTCAATTTTTTTTATTTTACCTGAAAATTTTATTTAAAAACACTCGAAAAATTTATTTCATTCTTACATCTGTAGTACTTAAATATTTATTAGATTGTCTGGAAATATTCGTGTCGAAGTATATATGTATACAGACAGCTAATAAATAAGAATTATATTGCGGGCTTGCGAATCGTATTAGTTTTTATCCAAGAGCGGGCCAGGCGCGCGCGGTCGATATCGAGGCCCGGATAGATTGGGGCCGTGATTAAATTTTTGTGGCACACTTTTAGATTCGGGAATCCAAAATATTTCGACAAATAGTGTCTCAATTTAATAAGAAGATAAACACTTTTTTAATACTGTTCCTTTGGTGTCGAGATAAGGAGACACTAAAATATATATCTTGTTTTTGTTTATTAATTTTAAACGTGTCAGTGGATCTTGTAAGTCGGTTAATCTCCATTCGGGATTAAAAACGTTTGAGAGCCAGCGATCGTCGAGTCGAGAAGGCTGAGCTTTAATGGCCGGGCGATCTTGCGATGAATCACCGACTTAGCAATTCGCGTTTACCCTACCCGTTATTTACCGGCATGATAATCACCACGGTTACTTGCGTTATAAACGCTCCCAGAGTAATCAGCTCGGATGTTCCCGGTGCAATTAGTCTCTGCCATATCGCTTTCTTATACGGATTTTTATTTATTGCTTTTTCTCTGTCTTTTATTAAAACTCTATTTCAACAATCCGGCAGTCACTTTTTCACTTCTTATTTTTATATTTTTATGCTCGACGTCTTGAGAGAATTGATAATAAAATTTTATTTTATGGCCATTGATAAAGACAAAAAATTAATTACAACTTAATGCGCAGTTCGATACAATGAGAGGTCTGCTAGTCAATTATTTTTTACTTTAATTAAATACTTAATCAGTATGTAGCAATAGAAGGCGGACTTTTTCTTGCTCAAAATTTCAATGTATTGTTTGATGTTTTTTTTTTTTTTTTTTTTTAATTTAATTAATAAATTGTTGGTACCAATATCTATTTGAATTAATGATGCGTGAAAACTTTAATTTGACCTAAGATTATACAATAATTTTTACTTTTACTCTTAAAAAATGTTCAAGAAGTTAAAAATGCTTTTTACCGGCCACTGTTGTTATCCTTCTTTACTTTTTTACGCATTCAACTACACCGTTTTAATTTACACATATATATTACCGTAATAAAAAAAATAGACGTGCCCATTTGCGGTGAAATTAAAATTTTATTACTTGTAAAATAACCTGCGAACAAAGAAACTATTTTCAGTTCATTACCTTCGATATTTTTAACACTACTACTTCAACAGCTTCCCTATAATTATTTACCCCCAGTAAAATAAATAATTATCAGCCGTAATTTTTTTTTTTGCAGCCTCTCAAGTTAGGTCCTAGAGAAACAAAAAGAAATACTAGTAATTTAACTCTAATGGATCAAGTCGTAAATAAATTTTAATGAAAGAAACTAAACGGGATCTATATATTAAATGTTGTATTTTTAAAATGGTTTATCTGTTCGTAAGACAATTTATAAGTAAGTACACAAACAAATACTCAAATAAGTAATCGCAGGATTACTTTAAATGGGCTGCACTGAATAGAATGGTTAACATCCGCCGGAAGTAACCACTCGTAATGTAAATTATAAAACTTTCTCTTTTCAACCACATTTACATTTACGATTTTTAAATTTTCATCTCAATTCAACGAGCGTTATTCTCGCAATTGCTGAATAATAAAAATATTCTGGCGAAATCGTGTGTAATGATACTAATATTATAAAAATTATTTTCTTCAGCATCAAGAGTGCGAATGCGAGCGACATACCTGCGGTGAGAGATGCGAAAAGTGTTGCCCAATGTACAACCAGGCGCCTTGGAAGCCCGGTACATCGGTAAAAGGATTTTACTGCGAAAAGTGTAATTGCAATGGTCACGCAAGTTCATGCCGATATGATCCGGAGATCGCTGATAAGCGCATGTCTATGGACATAAGGGGGAAATACCGTGGTGGCGGCGTTTGTATAAACTGCACGGTAATTATCGATTTGCGAATTTAAATTTATAATGAATTTAAGATTTTTTTAAGGATTTTGTGATAAAATTATTTGTTGTTTGAAATAAATATTAATAAAATACAAAATTTTACCTCAATTATAAATATCAATACCATCAAAAAAAGTCGACATTCAATATAAAGGGTAGAAGTACCGTTTTTGGCCAGTTACCATTTGAATTAATTTATAAAAAATTATAATATTATAACCATATTTTTATTGAGTTTTAAAAATAGGTATATTAAAACAAATTGAGTTTGTAATAGTTTATTAATATAAATTCATTTCTATTGTTTATTTGAACAATAAATGGCCATAAACGGTACAGTAGCCACAAATGGTACTTCTACCCTACATCATTTAGTTTTTGTTTCATAATTTTCATTCATTATTTGACTGACTGATATTATTATTCAAAACACATCATTTTTTAAAATTTTATTTATTGATATAAGCATCAACATCATATATCACAGAATCCTGGAAAAAATTAAAAAAAAACGCATGACAGGTTAAAAAATTCTATAAAATAATTAATTAAAGGATCACACAACGGGTATCAACTGCGAGAGATGTCAAGTTGGTTATTATCGACCGAACGGTGTTTTGCCTAATGACCCTAGTCCGTGTGTTCCATGTGATCATTGTAACATGAGAGGTAGCATTGGTTTTTGTACTCCAGATGATACTTATGTTGGCAAGGTATTGAAACAATAATTACACTTAAAAAAATCTACTGTATTGATACAATTCCATGCAAATAATTTTATACTTATCAATGTTTTCTGTAAAATGAATGTAAATGTTTTTTAAATGATGTTGAATTATGGTTAAAAATTAACAAATTTTATAATGAAAATGTTTTTTATTAATAAATGAATTTATCCAGGTAGCAGGTGCCTGCGAATGCAAACCAGGATTTTCAGGCTACAAATGTGACCAATGTGCCGCGGGGTACCGGCAATTTCCCGATTGCATGCCATGCCCATGCGACTCGCGCGGAATATTGCCTTCGCACGACTGCGAGGGCGACTGTCTTTGCAAAGCGAACGTGGCTGGAGATTTCTGCGACCGATGCAAGCCCGGTTATTTCGCGCTGACACGTGACAATATCGAAGGATGCTTGCAATGCGACTGCTTCGGTGTTACCGATCAGTGCACCGCAGCCACGCTTGTTTATCAATCGGTAAGTTTTATACTTTTATATTTGTGAATTGTCGAGTCTTCGATTCTTATGATCATAAATCATGTATGGAGAAAAAACATTACATGGTTATTAGATATTGCTTACAAATAAATCATCATTAAATTGACAATAATCAATCATAAACACCGGATATTAATTTTATAAATTACACAATGTTTAAGTACTGCAATATATTTATCCATTTTATCCAAGTTATATGTAAAAACAGTTAAGGGTAATAGTAAGCAAGTAGTAGTTAATAAAATAGTCAATCATGATTTTTCAATCATGACAAAGTCGATTACCATTAGCTCAGTACATAGATCGGCAATTGTATGCTAATGAAGCGTAAAAATACATGTACTACTCATATTATCCCGGCGGAAAAAATAATTCAATCATTTTTTTCTGGCTGCTAAAAAAGAGTACCGTACTCGAAGTAAGTATTATGCAGAGAAGAATAAAAAAATTGTTAGAGCTAGCGGAGAAAAAGGATGAAATAAAATAGACAAGAGCGTTGAAGTAATAATAATATAGAAAGTAAAAGGGTAGAGCATGTCCACCCTCGTTTATCGCACGCCGTAATATTATAATACCAACACAGTAAGAGTCGTTCGTGCGACAGCGTAATTACGGGTTATACTGTCTTCCGTTCCGAGTCATGAGCACCGATAACAGGGATAGACATAAGCTTATCCAGTTCATCTAACTATCGTGTCTCTCTGACCAAGATCCATCCGTGCATTAAAGCCTCATCTCCATCTTCCGAAGGAGATACTTGTCAACTTTATGTTATATATAAACTCTTGGCTCCTAATAAGCCTTTATCATCTTATTCCACTCCTAAAAATCTTCATATTTTATGCATAATATAACTATTTAAACTCTACTCAAATCGATTGGGGTAGTGGGATAGAATTTTTAATATAAATACCTCTAGTTTACCACTGTCATGCTCAATTTGATGTCAATTTATTACAATATACAATTTAATAATTAGCTTGTAAATTTCGAAGTCAATTTTGTACATCGACTTTGTTTTTAGTTTATAAGATTTAAATTTAATTTATAGGTACCAATTTTTGATCACAAAATTTTATACAAAAAAATTACGAAAATACTACGAAGGAAAATATATTTAATTAAACTGAGAAAATTCTCGAAAGATCTAAGTTATTTTTAAGCAAGAAGAAATTTTATTTTCTTAAATACTTTTTGTCAAGAAAATTAGTTTTACATTGAAGAATTTTTCTTTTCTACATATTTTAACTAGACCTATGCACAAATAAAACTCATATTTATAAAAAGTGCATCCCTAAATATATTATGCATTTTTTACCTCTGTTAAATCAAAAAATATTAAAAAATTTGAAAGTATCCAAACAACATTCGAATTTTATGGATCTAAATACATAAAAAATTTTCAATCGATTAAAGAAAATTCTAAAATATATTAGAGAATTTTTCAATAATTTTCATTAGACTTAAGCTCAAAATTTCGATAAAATCGATCGGAGTTCAAATTTAAAAATTGTCAATTTCACAAAAATGACTAAATATATATTTAATTACAGATTTCCACACTGAATGATTGGCGTGTGACAGACATAAACGCTTCGAGACCAGTAATACCAACGATAGACCCGGACAACGGGTGGTTAGTCCTTGCGTCCTTTGAAGTCGAGTACCAGAGTCCATTTTGGTTCGCTCCGAAAATTTACACCGGCAATCGTTTGTCTTCCTACGGAAGTAACCTCACCTACTCGACAACCTGGATAGTTATGCGAGGTGACAGCAGCGGTAAACCGACCATCGAGCCCAACGTCATTCTTGTGGTAAATTTTTTATCCTCACTTAAATTACTCGTTCTTAAAAACCGCGCCAACAATTAACAATAAAGCAAATATGATAATATTTAATTATCTAGGGGAAAAACGGAATGCGGATTGCGTACGGAGAAGAACAGTATAAGGGACAAGAGGCCGAAATATCGGTACCGCTTCAAGAACAGGGCTGGTACCACGTTCACAGCGAAGTACAGGATATTCCGACCAGACTTCGGAGGACTGAGTACAAAGGTGACCCTGTTACCCGCTCGCAGATGCTCAAAGTTTTGGCCGATATCAAGTACCTGATGATACGCGCCCAGTATCATTCGGAGCAAGTCGAAGCGAGCTTGCAGTCTGTCGTTCTGCCCATCGGGGATCGCACTGATGATGGAATGGAAACTCTCGCGGAACACTGCAAGTGTCCTGAAGGATACGCCGGACTATCGTGTGAAAACTGCGCCTGGGGGTACGTTAAAGTTATCGTCAATGGAAGCGATCATCAGGATCATCACATCTGCGTAAAATGCGACTGCTATAACCATGCTGGCTCCTGCGATCTTGTTATGGGCGAATGTAATGTAAGTATCGCTTCCTTACCGACTGCTTTAGTGACCGCTGATCGGTAGTTGGTTTGTGAGAGATCGGTTTATTGGGAGTCGGTAGAGAATGGACGGAGAGTAACTGGTAAACTTTCTGACTGACGAACGTTGTAGAGATCGGTAAATTTGAATTTACGCATTAAAGTCCCTGATAGCCATCTCCTACTATAACTTTCAGATAACATAGTGCCGCGAATTATAGATAACTTGACGAAAAGTAGGTTAGCAATAACAATAAGTATTAATCTACAACTTATCGCCAAGTTATGGTCAAGTTTACTTCAACGAATTGTAGTGAAACAATTGTCGTTAAGTTGCCGAAATTTTCTATTCAAGTTTACTATAAGCTTATAGATAACTTGTTTTTAAATATCGGCACTATCTTATTGTCGGCCCTATCTTATCTTAATTTATGGTTAATTGATAATGTAAAAATTCGTGAGTAGAGATGATCCTGAGTACAGTTGTAAATGATTATGATTACAAATGTAAGTGAATAGATTCTTTGTGAATAGAGATGTAACTGAGTTAAAAATTCAGTGAATAGACTTGAAAATGAATACAATTGAAACTGAGCAAAGTTGTAATTGACTACTGTTGAATTTGAGTAAGGTTGTAACTGATTAAAGTTCTACCTGAAGGCAAATAATATTGAATAAAGTTGAATCGGAGTCAAGATTTAAATGAATAAAGTTGTGATTGAATGAAGATGATTTTGAATAAAAATGTAATTGAGTGCAGATGTCGTTGATGGCTGTGAGTAGAGATTTTATGAGTAGACCTGTAACATAGCCACGATAAGTTGTCGCTAACTTATCTACAAGAACTTAACTACAAGAACTTATAGTATAAGGTGGCTATCAAGGGTTGTATTCTGGAAAGGGATTCTAATAAAAAAGAATATTTTATAGAGAATAAATTTTATAATAATAACTCTAGAGATTAAAATTTTTTTAAACTGATGACAATAATAAAATTTTGATTTATTTCATAGATACTTAAAATATTATGATGTAATAAATTCTAATATTTTCGAAAAAAAATTTAATTTGAATTTGACTTCTTTATGTATAAGACATACAACTTAGTTAATATGCTTGGTATTATTATTATATATTGACTTTTATGCTAATATTGATACCCGGATGAACTCAGCAATGTCTAACGAAACGTTGACAATAGAAAAAAAATTTTTACACATGAAAGTTGCCCACATTTCCTTTCAAATAAATCAACAATTGATACTCATTTTAATTGCAGATGTGCGAACATCATACCACAGGACCAAAATGTGACCGCTGTATGACAGGTTACTACGGAGACGCAACCCGAGGTATTCCGAATGACTGTAAAAAGTGCGCTTGTCCTCTAACAGAAGCTTCTAATCAATTCAGCCCCAATTGTCAGCTGGACGACCCCAAAAAGCCAGAGGGCAATTATGTGTGTACGCAATGTCCGGTCGGGTATACTGGAGATCACTGCGAGAGGTACCACTTTTTTTGTTTAATTCAAATGTTGAGATTTGAGGTAGATTTTTGAATGTTATTTTTTTTTTTTAGCTGCGATATTGGATACTTTGGTGATCCGACGAAACTTGGAGGCACGTGTGAGCTTTGTCCTTGCAACGGCGGCACATGTGACCAGGAAACAGGGCACTGTTTGGAGTGCCGCGGCAACACTGAGGGATCCCGGTGCGATAAATGTAAGGAAGCCCACTACGGCGATCCTTTGGAGCAAAATTGTTTACGTAAGTAGTTTGTAATGAATTACGAGTTATAATTTTAAAAGTATTTATTTTGATGAGTTTTTGGGCTTCCGGACCTCACAGGAGTATTTATTAGAGCCCGAGAGTATTAAAATTTTAATGTTCACGAGTTTAATTTTTTTTTTTAGTGTAAAAGGGTCAGCTGATTAGTTTTATGAAGTTTTAAATTTTAATTGAGTGAGGAGAGGTTTATAAATCATAAAAATAATTTGGCACTATTATTATTATCAGTAAAAATTTTTGTTGATTAAAAAAATGATTTCAATTTTGCTAAAAAATTCAAGTAAAATTTTTTTTTAAAAGTTCAAAAATAGTTTAATGATTTCAAATAAAAGGCAAAACTCATTAAAAAATTCCCATTATTTAAAATTAAATTACATACTTTGTTTCTAGCTTGTGATTGTGACATAATCGGGAGTAGTTCAAGTTTGTGTGACTTAGTAAGTGGGCAGTGTCTGTGCCGTCCATTGTACACCGATCGTGATTGCTCAAAGTGCATACAAGGGTACGGTAACGTCACCGCGGGTTGTCGCGAGTGTGATTGTGACATTGGTGCCGCGGACGATAATTGTGACGCCGTAACGGGGTTGTGTAAGTGCCAAACGGGAGTTATCGGCGATCGTTGCGATAAATGTGCTCCAGATCATTATGGATTATCTATGAACGGCTGTCAAGGTGAGTTTTTTTGGCTTAAACATTTACTTAATGCACTGATATGCATTAAGTAAATGCAACATTTACTTAATGCGCGCCCAAATTTCAGCCAATAGGGAATCGTTTTTTGCGAGTTTCGGCCTATGAATAACTTCAAGACTTGTATTTTAAGTTAGAGGATTAAAATTATTCAAAAATTAACTTTAAATTTTCCATTTTAATCAAAAAATTCAGATAACTTAATTCCATAATTTTTTTTTTCATTTCTTCATATCTTCTGTAACGAATTAACATTCCGATTTGAGCGGTGTATTTTTGGATACTTCGAAATATTTTCCTCGGTTACGAAACCTTTTACCACAGACTTGTCAATCGCAAGCCCATAAATACATACAATATATAGAATATAAAAGAAAAAAAAAGCAATGTTAATGGAAAAAAGGTAATTCACGTCTGCATTTAACTTCCTACGCGTGTACCTATTGAAACAACTCTCCCACGCGTAAGTGTGAAATTAACCAGTTAGAAGACATCAATAAATAACCCAGTGCACCTAATGCACTGTAATGTAAGGTAATGTTTGAGAAATCCGATAGATTATTATTATATGATAACGATAATTATTTTTATTTACTCTCCGGTCATTCAATTCAACTCAATACGTCCAGATATTAAACCATTACTTCTACCAACAACTATTGATTACTATATCACCACATTATTATTATTATTATTAACATTCTTATGGATTAAAATAATACCGGCAAGTAGAACGAGTTCATTAATGCATCTGAGACACGCGTCTGTAGTCTGTATAGAATATAGGAGTCTTTAGATGTAGTGCAGAATGTGGGTGAAAAAATAAAACCAGAGATAAAGTGCAGTGATGAGGACGAAGATGAAAGGAGTTAAGTGACGGAAGAAGTGATGCTGCTTAATGTCTAGTAGACTAACTCATGACTTGTTTGAGATGTTAATGAACCTCCTACAGAGCAAGAAGTTCTGCTCTTAAACTCACTAGCAGCTTCTCCGCAAGTTGAGACTAAGATGGTCCTGTGGCTTTTCACCTTCTTATTCTCACCTCTGAATGATCGCTCCGTTATATACTCATGCCATCCCACGTGTAGTCTGTATTAAATATATTGCAGCCGGTCTCTATATATTACGGATCCACCATTAGATTCTGCTTTAATGACTCACTCTTTCAGTTATTTAATACCAAATATTTTTATTTTATTTTTTTAATAATAATTAATGACTATAAAATTTTTTTTTATTTTTATTACACCACAAATCTTACACAAAATAATTATTTTACATTTTATGCATTAAACTTAATATTTTAAAAATGAAACAGATGATTATTGTAAGTGACTGTTCAAGCCGGATTTAATTAATAAATTTATTTATTTACAAGCAAACTAAATTTATTGTACTCAATAGTAACAGTAATGAGTGCAATTAATCATTTCATTTATTAAATATTTATCTAAAAAAAAAATTATTTATTAATGAGCAGAATAGAATGACGACAGTAAAAATTCCGGATTTATTATCTTGTATTTGAAGGAATATAAATTAAAGCGATTGCGTAGCGAGTTTAAATTGTCTGGATCGATACTTTTCCAAATAGTCTGGGTATAACTACGTAACTGCATTTGTACTGGAGTCTTATACTTATACTGGATGGATATAAACTCGAGCGCTTTATTCGCGGCGATCGAGATCGAGTAGAGCGTAGGTGGACAGCCCGAAGACTTGAAGAGAGCAAGAGATCTAGATAGAGATGGAGATATAAAATCAGTCGGAGCACGTGATATATCAGGATAAGTCTCGTGTGATCCAATCTACCCGAGATTCCGGAGATGCGTGGATAAAACGGTGGGAAAGTCTCCTGGATCTTGGCTTAGATTAAATATTTATATTATATATTTATACAGTACTGAATTTTATTTTTGCTGATATCGTAAAAAGTTGCGTTTATCGATACACCGATACAATTTTTAACTGATCGAGGAATAATAATAATCTTAAAGTTCTATTAGCTTAAAATACTTTATTTAAATGTTCAATTGTCGGTAAATTATTTAACTTTAAAATTGTAAAATTATTTCAATTAATCCAAATTTTGACTGAAACAAAAATTAAATTATAAATTTAGGATAATTTTTATTTAAAAAATTCATTCAAGTCAAATAAATAAAAATAAATTAAATTAAGTAATTTATAATTCAAAATTTAAATAAAATATTTTAGCGTGAGGATAACATGAGTTTAATAATTTTATCGTGAGTTAAAAAGTTTTATTGTGAATATAAATGCTGGTAGAAGTAAACGTTGGTATAGAGAAAACGATCGGCAAATGGCGATAAACCCAGTACGGGCATACGGTGGCAAGATCCTGATGTCCAGGACGAAGGAGAAGAAGATCCACTACTTTTCATCCCGTTGTATCTCTTCTATACACTTATACTTATATATAAGTGTATCCATTCTTACACTAGTCGCTGTTTCTTGTGTCGGATCGCCAAGTACAGTGTTATCGACTTATATATGTGTAGTAAAATAACAAAACACAAAACTGGTGATGTGTGTGGAAGACAAAAACTCACCGAGTCACCGGAATGTAGTTTTGTGAAACTTGGACGTTCGACAATTCGATCGCACGTCCAAAAACCGATCCAATATATGTATATATATATAAATATATACAACACTTGAATGTCACGTTAGGATGTATGCATTTTTCATTTTTTTATTCAATAGTAAAAAAATCCCACTTTATTTTTTACATTTCCGTCATCTAATTGGGAAATTTATATTAATAATATTTATAATTATCTTTGAGGGAAAAAAACCGTAATGGATTGATAACAGTCTATTTAATTATATGAAGATATGGACATTATGTATTATAAATGAGTTTAAGTACCGGAAAGCGTTATCAAATTAATACGTATAAATATCCACATATATTTCCAAGATTCCTGAGGTTTGATTGCCAGGCAGTTGAGTTACCGCGTCTTTTGTCTCGGCTGAAAGCACGTACCACTCGTTAATGATGCAACGGCTATCAGATAGACTTACAAGTCGAGTTTATTATTTTTTTTTTCCAGAGAGTCATTACCTCATCCTTAATCTCAAATCCTAGACGGTTTTACGTGTGGGCTGATTTTATATTTATCTTTTTTTTTTTTCTTTATTATTAAAGTACATCTTTATTCGAAAGATGGAAGATAAAATAGCAAATATTTAATTATAAAGCTATAATTTTATTTATAATTTTTTAATCACTTGCAGAGATATTTTATCGATTAAAGTTCCAATAATTTTAATCAATTTCCGGCTATCAGTTAAATTAAATTTTTTGTTAATTGTGAACTTTAAACGTTAAAACTCTTATCAAACAATTTTTGACCTCAGATCTCAGGTTCTCAAGCCTTTATAAAATTTTTCCACGCCATAAATATTATGTCAATAATTAGAGAAATGAAGTTTAATTTATAGCAAAATAATAACTGGGCTAGTGAAAAAATCCGAGCATAAATTGTGGATTAAGTCATGAATCAAGACTTAAATAAAATGCACGATAGTGAAGATGAACAGGTCAATAATTTAAGTCTGGCTGGCGAAGTGAAGGGTATCATAGCAATGTATAGTAGTTCAAACCGGAAGAGATTTCTCGAGGCATCAGGATAGGATAGGTATTGTATAGGAAGACGAGACCGAGGAGTTGGACGTGTGGTGGATGGAGGACGTGGACTGGAATAAAAGACACATATTATATATCCAAGCCATAGACTGGGACAAAGTCTTGAGTTGCCGACAAAGTTGTACGTCGTATGCAATAAAACAATTTAAAAGCTTCCATAAACAGTCCTGGTAACCTCACCAGCACTTAACAACCATTCTCGTGGATATCGATGTGATGGGGAGTCTTTTCCGTCTTTATCTCGGGTCCTTATTTTTAAATACGATGTCGCACGATGCATACCGATACAATGCTCAGGAACCTCGGATAGAAATGGATACAATGAAACAAGTGCTTAGATACCATCGACTCATGTACGTATCACGTATGTGCATTTTATTTTATTTATATGAATGTGATCGGTCATCTGGTCTCAATCTTACCCAGAGTCTACTGGTCTCTGCCCACTGATGTATACCTCAACTCGCATACCTCGTCTCCTATCCCGGCAATCGATTTTATTAAGTAATGTCAACCGTCGACGATAAATGAAATCATTGATCATGCCGCACTCCATTAGATAATAAATTATTTTTAAATGAAATCAACTGTCGCTCAATAAATTGTTTATAAGCTTTCTATTCAATTATCATTTGAGTAAATTATTGCTCGGCAAATAATCGCGATGAGGATTGAGAACTCTGTAATTTGTGATGTGATTAGATACGATACTTGGAACACTATTTTTTACGAGATTATATTCAATGAATAATAGACTCGAGTATTTTAGAATAATCCAACTAGAGTTACTGACTAGACAACTACCCAGTGCATATCTAAGTACCTCGTGTGCTTTGATCAAGATAACGGAGATATATGAAGCTGCTGAGGGAGGCTATAGCCATCTTGTAAGAGAACAACGTGTGCAACTCCTCGATCATCTCTAAATATTTCTTTATTTTTCTTTTTTTTTCAGAAATGGGTTAAGTAAGAAGGTTTATTTTTTTTTTTTTAATATCAAACACCTTTAAGAAGACTGATAACAATCTGCTATGTAAAAACAAGGTCTCAAAAAATGGGAAATTTTTATCTAACCATATCGAACCGTTATACATAAAATCCCGTGAAAATTATCCTAAAAATTTCAATTTAAAAAATTTTGTATGGATAAATATTAATTTAATCCTGAAAGAAATTTCTGACATGGCCATATGTGATCTGATTTTGTTAATTTTTATATTAGGCTGTATCATAAAAATTTTTCACGGATATCATTTCTTTTTAATTCTGTTTTTCTCCAACTCAGATAAAAAAAAAACATATTCTGGTCAGGTTACAGAGCTTTTAATTATGAATAACTGCGAAACTTAATTAAGATTTAACAGCTTAATTTATCGTTGAAAATTTGCCTGCATAAAATAGAGACTACATTATTAATTATTATGAATCAACATTAATGCCGATGTCTGGAGTGTTCAGAAGCCGTATAGTATGCTCCGCGAACTAGAATGACATGTTGCGCACTAATATAACGATTAATAAACAAGGTTTAACGTCTCAGCGCTAACGGTTATCATATTAAGTGTGTTTATGTACTCTAGGATTATAGACAAAATATAGCTGGTTAAACTCCTGTCCTGTACTGCCTCCATCTTCTTGCATTACACCGTCCACTGAGTTAAGGAATTCAATGTTTATATATTTAACGACTCATATTACACAAGCTCAACCTCTTATCAACAGTACAGCTACTGTTTCCACCCTCAGCTTCTCAATTCCCAGGAATTATTATTTCAGGCATTACTTATTTACTTATTTATTTATTTTGAATTGTCAACTTACCGCTTAAATATTCCAATGCCGATAATGTAAATCTTGGGCTCATACCCGATATAAATACTCAACCTGCTATCATATATTTATCCTCCACTATACTATACTATTCTAGTTTTAAATTCTATCCAGCGGAATTGAAATTATAACTGGTATTTATTCGAGCAGGTACTATACAATATAGATACTATTTTATATTGTATAGCGTAGAGTGTACCCCTTTACGTACAACCTGAGTCGCTTTCCAGCAAGACCATGCCAGGTGCCTAAGAATATTCTCCCGATGGCGCTTGCTTCTTTATTTTTAAATTTACGATCAGCCGTAATTTTAAAACGATCGTCCAGTCAGCTGATACTGAGAGAGCTTTTACTAACGCTAATTCATGTTCTTGTTTGCTGAGACGTTTAAAGCAAAATTGGAAGATTCGCTTGAGTAAATTCGTCTTAAATCATTATTTTTTGTTATCTGCTCATATAAACTAACGGTCGGACTCGCTATTGTGTAATTGGACAAAAGTCATTTATTTTTTACACTAAATATATCAAATAAATCAGTCAGAAATTTTTAATTTAAAAGAATTATCAATTTTTTAAATTTACCATCCCCGGGAATTAAACCCGCGTACTTCGCGTTTTAATTTTCATTTATAATTCCAAAAAAATAGCTGAAACCTAAACCTCTTGTAATAAATTATAATTTACTGGAATTTTAATTACTTTAAGAAGTTTATTTATCTTTGAAGATTAAGTTAATTGTTAAAAAATGACATCGTAAAAGATTAGGGATTAAATAATAAATGAAGATCATTAATTTGTAAGCTTGAGAAAATAACGAGAATAAAATTTTCTTGACGGGGAATTGCTTGTCCAGCAGTCGAGTCGGGTGTTATGTGTTATGTGTATTATATTGCAGAATGGAAGATTCTATGGGATGCAATGTAATGCGTACGCAATCCGGTTTGACGCATAATCCACCACCACGTGCTTAGTCGGACCGAGAAATTCAGACGTGAGAAAATACACACGTATTATATTGAGAACACGGCAAACTAACACCCCGTTGACCCCATGCAGTTCAACAACTATCTATATAGATAAATAAATAAATATAAATATAAACATACACATTTACATAGATACATATTGCTAGATGTATACTTTGCTGGTTAGTACATAGTACACATGTATGTATGTTTAAATATATTTATAAATATTTCAAAATTTACATTACAAGATTCTTAAATCGCGGGAAAAAGTACTTGACATTACACCCCTGTAATAATTTTAAACAAAATAACTTGTTAAAATTACTAATTTATGTTACGTGTCTTTCTTTTTTTTTTTCTTTAACTCAAAGCGGTATTACCCTGTGAAAAATTATAAATTGACGGTGGAATATAACGGGGATTTATCGGCCCTGGCGTATTTCAGTTTTAAAAAATTTTTAATTTGTAAATTTTTTTGAAACAATCATTAAATCTCAGACTAAAAAAGCAATAAAAAAATTTAAAAAGATAGAAAGGTATATAAAGTAACGTGCTGAAATAGTAACCTGCTAAATGAAATCGTAATATACGTGTGTGAGGATCTCTGCAATTTGTCACGGTCCAACCGGCACATTGTTTCAAATATCGTCTTAATGACAAGCTGATTTTTCTCATTCACTTTTTGTACCCGGAGTCTTCTCTTTTTTTCGACCTTGACTTATATCAATGTAAGTGAAAAAAATTACTTTAGGAAGGCCAATTTAGTGCGTGAATTTTTTTTTTACTAAAACAAATTTGTCTTAGATGCTCCGTTAGATTTTTTGGTGGTTGCGAAAGAGATAAGTAATATTTTTTTTTGTTATTTTTAACCCACGCCTCAGAAATTTGATACCGAAGGTTCATAAGTAAACATTTATAGTATATACGGCATAGACAAAAAAAAATAACAATTTTATTTAATGAATTTAAATATTTTAGTGTCACATTAATCGATTGATTCGTTTATCTCGATGATTTATCGCAACAAATTATACGATTGTATATTACCATTCGCAATACTGCGTATTGCTCACCTGAAGATTAGCAGATAAAAGATAAATAAAATACCAATCATATATTTACTTTAAAAAACAATTTCTATAGTCCTTTTTAAACTTAAATATTTTTATTAAAAATCTTGATAATTATCTTCAAATTATTAAAATTTTCACTTAATGGAATGATAAGAATAAAAATACATCAAAATTAGTGACTTTAATTATTATAAATCTACCAAAAATAGGCTGTACTTTTAAATTAATCATTTTTTGCTAAAAATTTACACGTATATTTATATTCATACATATACATATATATGTAATCGACTACTATTCCCATTCACTATTTCACGATACAATACAACATACACCTGCCCACGCAACCTTCCACTCGGCGGTAATTTACCGGGAGGTAACATACACGCACCAGTGCCATTCGCAAAAGTTGAGCCGGAAGGAAAAATATTTTCCACCCACTCATTTCTCGAGTCAATACTATTTATACTATTTACAACAGTCTTTTACTCAGTCCGCAAGTGATCAATGATCACTGATCGGTATATCAACATCGGTACCAACTAGTGACTCCGAAATTGAGCTCCAGGCTAAAGGCGTATATCAAGTAGCTGACGAGTTACTTTTTTCAAAACTGTACTATAAAAACTGCCAACAAACCCCGAGGCTTTTTTAACGAAGTAAAGCCGAACCC